GTCCTTCATCCAGAGTTGCATAATAGTTGTCATCTTACCTTTAATAAAGATCCCCACTCATTTAGTCATTTTTCTCCTCTCTCTCTCTCTCTCTAATACCCTGAAAATAACCTTCAGCTTCTTTAAAACATAAAGCTTTGGCGTTTTAGAGAAACTGTAATGAGCCAATAAACCCAATTTGGAGGCTGGTTAGTATCACATAAATTAATTTCCCTGCTAAATGATCAGAGTCACATCCACCTTTTTCACTACCATCTGCCTCACAACAAAGTTGGCACTGTACTCCTTTGAGAGGTGGACTGTAAACGTGTCATTAGAAAAAGGCTTATTAACAAAATCCTTTCTAAGTTCCAATTTTCCTGTTCCAGGGTAATGATCACAGGCAGCATATATATACTGTAAGCAGGAAGCACTCAAATGTCCATATGGCATGCACTTAAAAAAATAATAAAAAAACAGTAAATGGAATGTGTGTATGGATCTATCCAAATATTCACCTTCGTTTTCAGGGGTTTTCCTAGCTATTTTATCATGACATTTCTGCCAGCTAGGGTATTTCCCCTTCTTGCCTCTGGACTATATAATCAAGCATGTTGCCACACTTATAAAATAGCACTGGAACAAACCACTTTTCCTGAGCTTGCTCTTAATTCCTCCCACCCTCCACACACCCCCACACCCCCCAACTCCTCTGATGTGTGACAGACATTTGAGGTCACTCAGCCATCTCATTTCGCTCCTCACCACAGCCAGCTACTTGTCAAGTACTTTGAGATAGTCCAGTGGTGGTGGTGGGGGGGTATTCAGAGAACCGAACATATGCTTCACCTCCAGGCAGAAAGTCTTCTTTGCTTCTGAAATTCTCATTTCTCAGTGTCAAAGACCATTCCTAGGCACAGCAATGCAAAGCTCCAGACAGGCTTTCCCCAATCGACCGGCGTCGCCCAGAGCTCACCAAGAGATGTGGCACGGTCACCCTGCACCCCAGAGGAGGAAGAGGAGGTGCCCCCGTGCAGGCGAGGGCTGAAGCCCCTCGGCAGCTTCTGGGGGAAGCAGCCAGGGGACAGACTCCACACCCCTGCTCCGCAGCACGGGAGCAGCACTGCTGGGTCCCCTGGCTCGGGCTGGGGATGCTCCTCACCCCCCGGGATGCTGAAGCACTGCCCGCAAGCACCAGGGACGGGCAGGCTGTGCTAGCTCTCTGAGGAAGAACCAATTCCGATCATACATGCAGGACAGAGCACTCCCTGAAACCCACTGGGCTTTCTAGCGAGCCTATTTCTTTTGTTTGGGTTTGGCTGCTCTTTCCTCCCTATGTTCTGCCCCTCACTACATAAATGCTTTTGCTTTCTCTCGGTGGAATGTGGAGAAGCAAACTGCCTTTGTAGCTTGAAAAAGCCACACAAGCTCTCCAAGCTTAGCTTAGCCCTTATGCCTACCAACTGTTGGGAAGCAAGAAACCACCCGAACGTGGTTCCTAAACTCAAATTAAAAACATCTTTCTGGAATTTTTCACTGGTTGTGGGTAAACACACAAGAGGTCTAAGATTTTCTTTATATTGAGGAGCCTGCAGTGAAGGTAAGGAAGTTTTAAATTTAGACAGGGACTTTGATTTTCTTTTTCCAACACCAAAAAAAAATGTGGTGACAAAACTGATTCATGGGACAGTGGGGTAATAGCTTTTTCCATGTGAAGGAAGTGAGGAAGACGCTGCATACTCAAGTTAAAATGTATATATATGTGTTTCCCTTTTATGTACCAGAGTCAGAATTTAACAGTCCCATCAAATGGAATTTTACCAGTGTCATTTATTTTTCAATGAATGGTACTGTCCCTTCCCAGGCTGAGGTCCCGGTGGACCATGAGCTTTCAGACAAGTGAGCGGTATCAGCATGACATACAAGCATCATGTTATGTTGTTCTCTTTCACTAAACGTCCCACAGCAGGCTATTGTTCTACTATATACAATGCAGACAGTTGCTTTGGTTTATTTTCAGGAATAAGACGTATTTTTTTTCTCCAAATTATTAAAATCTTATTTTTTTAACTCAACACTAGCCACAAAACCTGATGTAGTGACAGGAATTACTTGAGTTACAATGATCTCTCCCTTCTAACTGGAAAAGACACCACAAAGACGGTTTCCACAATTTTCTATCTTATTAAGTGTAAACAGGTTTTTTTGTTTTATTTTTCCCTCTTAATGTTTATTTCCTCTGGTTTGTTTTTACAGGCGTTCTGTGAAGGGCTGGCTTTTAAGAAATTATTTTCAATAATTCTACTTAGGAAACTCTTCGGACAATTCAAGCAAAAATTCCAGTAGCAATAACCGCATGAGTTAAATTTCACTTCAAAGAAGTTTTTGAAACCACACTGTGTATTTCTGATCTGTTTTGTATTCTCAAAAATGGAATCCAAATGACTTGAATGTAAATTAAAAATAACAAACGGTATGACTGTAAAAGCCAAAATCTAGACCACAGAATTACAAACAGAGTTTCTTTCAGATCTATTGTCTTCCCAAATTTAGAAAGAATTGAAAGCTTCCTTCTTCTCCATCAAAGTTAGCACCGCCAATCTAGAAAACTTAATATATTGAATCTCTCTTTCACCTTTCTCAAGGTCTTTAGCATCTGAAAATGGATTTCTTTTCAGGAAAAAGAACCATGCTGTAGAAAATACAATTTCTCTGACTTTCCATTTCTGTATGCAACAGAAAGAGCTCTAATATTGACCAGGCTGATGAGTTTTCTTTTTGGAGCCTGGATGCTGAGTGTCTTCTTAAAATACTGGAAATTCCAAAGTACGTGTATGTTGCAGTATAGCAACAATAATATTAGGTAATAACAAAATCAGGCTATCTCCATGTCTCAGATAAAGTAAACTGAAGGGGAAGAATCTTCTGTTTTCTCCTGCCAGCAGCTCAGGAGGTTCTTCTCTAATTCATCATTCTGGAGGTCAGTGCAGGTTTTCCTGTTAATTACAGGAGGATATTCCTGTTCTTATGCTGTCATGACTGCAACCTGTCTCTCAGATCCTGAAAATATGGAGATGACTATCCTGAGCTTGGAGACGTTGATCGGAAATCATCACTGGCACTATTAGCTAAACCTTGTGGTCTAGGATTGGGGTGAGGTCCTTGAGGTCTCTTCAGTTTGTTGACAAATGAACTGTTCTGCATTCCCTAGGAATTACAAATAATTTCCATTTGAATGAGGTTTAACTGAAATCTCTGAACTCCTCACAGCTAGTTTCTGCTTCTCCTCCTGAATTATGAAGACTTCCAAGTTTACAGAAATGGGAATTTCTTCTGGGGAAGAAAAATTCTGGGTAGATTTCTGCGTGAACATACAAAAAATGTGCAAAGCGCTTTCAAGTAACAAAAGGTAGCTTTTTTACTGCAGGAAGCGTGGTCAGTCTATACCTGCATTGCAGTCTCTTCGGTAACTGCTGGGTGGTTTAAAAGGCTGCCTGCTAGCTGGCAGCAGCCTAATTGCCATAGCACAAAGATGCTGAGCCAGATTTCTTCCCCTAAGAAATGAGGCACGCTGCACTACTTAGGGAAGTTTAAAAATACATTTTCCTTGGGTTTGTGGTTGACTTTGGGTATAGGAAACATTCTAGCAATGCTTTATAAAGACCGTTTGTCTTTCTCTTTTTCCTATCCTCAACATCCTACAAATGCAGCCTGTATTTCATTCTTGTTTAACAGGTTCAGAGCCAGCTCACTGTCAGCTAAAAACATAGGCTTTGTTTACACTGGTCATTAAAACACCTAGCAGTGTACCTGAGATCTCAGCTTGTCAAGTGAATGTTAATCTGGTCAATTTTCCACTACATATATGGTCACAAAAAGCAGAACCCTGCTAGTCCTTTGTGCAAATAAGATTATGTACACAAGACACATTGCTAGTATTATCACTGGAAGCATATTGTGCATTCACATAAGGCTATTTTTATGTGTTTCTAGTGTATCATATCTTTTTGTAGACATGGTTGCTGATTTTAAAATAAAGCCAGTGTTGTTAGCTTGCTTAAAACTAAACCTAAAGCTTGGAAATATAGCTACCATATCTGTGTATGTGTTCTTTGGCACAAATACAATTTTTTTAGGGTGCATTACTTTGTATTTGGTAATTGAAAATGTACCTGGTCACTTTGTGTTTTCAGCTGACTGGACACAAATCTTTAAAGATAGTGAAGCTACATAGCAATATTTATGATGACATTGTGCTTGAGGTAGCAAGCCCTGTTCAAGCACAACAACATACTATTTGGAAAGCTTGCAAGGTTTATTAACGTGACCACAGCACCATGTAAAATGTGGCTCTGCCATTTCTTATTTTGCTCTGAGCATATCCAGACATGAGACACACTGGATAGCTACATTTTGAAATACAATTGGGAATACAGAATACCCAGCCGGAAGGAAGGCATAAACAAGTAAACTACAGTTCAAATTGTTGTCTGCTCAGTTTCTACAGTCAACTGACTTCAGCAAACAAGGAGCAGGATGAAGCCACAGTGCCCAAACCTGCACCTTCCATCTGGAGTACAGTCAAATGCCACAGCAACCACCACCAGGCAGGACTGGAGATGGGTTTTGGAACTGTTTAGAGGTTCATCCTGAATAAGCCACAACATTGAGGCAGATCTGCATAAATCTCTTTCTTGGAAGTAATCACACCCATAATACTAAAAGGGCTTTTTCAGATTTATACGACAGCTTTTTTCAGAACAGAAACTAGAAGAACATATTTTTCAATCTGAGAAAACTTAAAACAGACAGGGAAGACAAAAGAGAACTTGAGGATTTATCTAGTCCTGAGTGTCGTAGCAGAGCTGGCCTCCATATCCAATCTTGGTTTCAAACTAACAATTTGGTGACTTTCTGAGTGGCCACACTGCCTTCTCTCAAACCTTAGGAAAGGGTGATTTTTTTTCTCATCTCCTGTTTTGGATGTGATTTTGATGTTGCTGTCTGCAGGAGTCACCCACCTATGTTTGCTGTGCCGTTTCCTTGATGGCTCTTCCATTTTCCCTTCTGCCTGCCCCGTCCTTCAGTTGGGAATCCTTCCTCCTCTGACCATGTCCAGGAGTTTTTGTGGAAGGTGGCATCTCCAAGAGGTAGAGGAGGACCCAGTGTCCTACAGCCAGGACAAGACAAGGAGTCTTTCTGCTGAACCACCATACACTTTTAAAAGAAATTATCAGACAAACTTCACACTCCCTATATCCCCTAAAAATCCCACAGACCTTATCATAATGTGCCTTTAAAACTAAAAATAAATAAAAAAAAAACAAAATAAAACTGCCATCTGAGATAGAGAAATGCACCAAAACTTAATGTAGCTGAGCAAATGTGCCACTGCAGTACATACTGGTACAACTAAGAGTTTCCTTCTCAGCTGGAGCACGGAACAAATCGGGTGAATAGGCAAACAGTAAAAGCAAAAGATAACTCCTTCCCAAGCATCATTAAATTCCTCCTTTCCCCCCATACATATTCACTCTAAAGCAGCGTTTCCTGGGCTGTGCTCATGTCAGGCTCTGCGGGTCTTTAACTTCTCATGTCTGTGCGTCCCAAGCAAGATGCCAAGCCCCCGGTGCAGAGGGCACCGCGGTACGTGCCACATTCAGCAGCCCAGTGGTGCCTGCTCAGCATTCTGACACATCAGTACCCCACCGAGCGCTCTGCTCATGCAGTCTGTGGGCAAGTCCCGGGTCATATCGCTGTGGTAAGTCACCTACAATGAGTGCTGCAGCTCTGAGCCTCAGCCCAAGGCAAACAAAGAAATAAAACCTTCAAAGCTACCGGAAACCATCTCAGCTTTACCAAATGTAAGGACACAGTCTTAAGAGCTAATAACGACCTACCATGACCAGAAGAGAGCTCAACAGTTTAACAGCTACGTTTGGGAAAATCTTCATGATAAACTGTGGGGTTGGAGACCATGTCCAAGAAGAGATTGAGATCCTGCTTGACACATCCACGTACATTTTCTTCACCTGTACTCTGACCTAAACAAAGCTATCTGGAACTGAAATCGGTGCATCAGTGCAGAAGCGGACCCGGACTGATCCTTACTGGTGTAAGGAGGCCCTGAGGGACAGCACGGAGCAGGTACCCCCACACAGAGACCTGCCCAGCTTTGGGTCAGGGTCTGCTGCTGGCCTGGGGCACCAGCTGAGCAACACCACCATTGCCTGCTCCCCCTTGGTCACACCCAAAGAGAACTTGGCTTGTTTAATCTAGAAAAACAAAGTCCAGGAGAACGTTTGTCTTCTAAATATATCAGCTATGTAAACACTGGGGACAAACATCTGTTTAGGTTTAAGATTAACTTTTGATCAGAGGCAGGCATCGACTGGGTTCAGATAAACTTGGGTATGGACATGTGAACTGTGAGGGAATTGCAGGCAGCTGCAGAGGGTAAGGCAGGAGCGGGCAGGAGGAGGACAAGGCTATATTAAAGTTACTTATTTACAGGCTGTGTTTAAGGGTGAATCAAGAGCTGTGAAGGAAAACAAAACAACCCAAACCAACCAAAAAACCAAGAAGATAGTAAAAAGATGGTAACGGTTGAGGCAGCAGAAGACCAACCTGTTAACTGTTTACAGTCTGCCTGCTGTAATCAATAGATTTTGCTGGGGTTGGAAGGCTAAAGTCAGAGAGACCTAAAACCGGTGAATGTACAAACATCAGTCTGCAGGAGAGTGTGAAGTGCCAATGGCTGTTCAGGGAACAAGTTACACAGATGCTGCTGCCACTCAGAAGAAAAAAATAAAGCTTATTTGGCTAAGAGGTGAAGGTCATGTTTTCTGTGTATACATGCTGATACCAACTATTTCACCATTCTAAAATCCTGGTTTCCTTAGGGTATTCAGGTTTTCACTCAGGTTTTCATTGGTGCAAATGTGCCAACAAACTTGAAGACATGTTTTTTGTCTTTGGCCAGATGGTTTGACAGTTTGTAGCATGTTTGTGAATGATAAAGTGTTTGGCAGGGTGTTGCTGACCTCTTACTAGTCCCTCCGAAAAGGAACAAGAGAGTTGGCTTTAAAGGTGCCCAAGGCCTCCAGTGCGGCCCAATAATCCACCTTCAGCTGGGATAGAGATCCTCAGTGAAATAAACTGCATTTAGACTTTCTGCATGGGGAAGAGGAACGCTCTGTCAGTCCTGCTGACTTCTGCAGTTAACCCAGTGCTTACTAGATGACAGGAGTTTTTTTCCTGAAATATATTGCCATTATGTATGTCTGTGATAAGAAAAATTACTGATGACCAGTTAAGTGCTCCTCTCTGATTCTCTCAATGGATCTATCCTGACATTGAACCACCAGGTAGTGAAGGTGTGGTGCTTAGATATTACAGTGGTAAGGAACTTAAATGTCTAGAAAGATCCCTGATAAATTACATGCTCTGCAGATAAACCTCTGCCAAATTCTATTCAAATGGCAAAGAGATAATGTGAATATGACTCTAATGAAGGAAGGCTAGAGTTGCCATAATGCATGCAGGTGCAATTGCTCCAAATCTCTCTTAAAATCCATTTTCCTGCCAGTGCTCATTCTTCCTTTAAACAGAAGTTAATACTCTGCTGACATTACTGAACTCCATCATGCTCATTATGTCAGGCTAGCATTTAGATCAGGTTTTTGGAGGTGAAAGACCAATTCATTAACTCTATTGTGTCACTCAATGACTTCCTGTAGAGAGATCATAAGTCAGATGGTGGGTGTCACTGCTGGAAGATAAAAGACAGCTATAAAGTAGGAAGACAACTGGTATCATTCACAAAAGTGGAAAAAAAAATACTCTATAGCCTTTAATTTTTATTCATAGTTCAGGTTTTAAGTATGTTATTTAGCTAACAGTGCATTTGAGAGGGGTTTTTTTACGAGTTTCAGATATGGAGTGGAAGAGGTTATTGGCTGGTTATTTCTTTCTGACTTAAAGAGCAGAAATAAAATATGTAACAAACAACTGAGCAATTCCTGTAAAAATGAATTAAAAATGGATGTTTTGAAGCCAGATCTGTTGAAATGCCCATATATACTAACTTGTCTCAGTTTAAAGGGAAAAAAAAGAGTGTTTGGTAAATTATTACTTTGTCAAAATGATAATGTTATGAAACTGTTTGAATTTTTGTTAAAAACAGCTGCCAGGATTCAAAATCCACTTATTTGATAAAAACAAAAACAAAATCCCCACACTGTTCCCTCAGAGTAAAGAAAATATTGATTTTTAGAATACTCTATGTGATGAAAGAATTTGTTAAGACTTTTTTATGGAAAGTAGATTCCTACTGCTAATGGTTATTGGCTGAACATGAAGCTTCTCAGTTTGCACGTGGGTAATAAGCAAAAATACTTTTCATGCTTGTAATTGAGTTTTTCTAAGAAAATTTTCAAATACGACCCTTTTCAAGTGTAATTAACAAATACTTAATGTGAAGAGGGAGTGTCAAAAAAGGAAAGCATTTGCCAGAGAGCTTCACAGCTTCTGTTCAGCTTCCCTCTACCTGTTGCTCAAAAAAAACGTGGGAGATGGTGAGACTTTTTCCTCCCTAAGCTGTAAAAATCATTGGGGGGTGGGGAAGAGAGGGAGGCCGGGGAACACAGGACGGATGGGGCAATTTTAATAATATAAAGCATTTGTAGGGTTTCTCTGTGCTTTCAAGGCACAAAGAACAGGAGTCCGGTGTTGAAAGGACACAGGGACCCTGCGGGACGGGCTGACAGCAGCCACCGCGTCCTGCACCAGCCCCAACTGGTTGGCGCTGGGTGGTACTGGTTGGGCCTCTTAGTCACTGAAGAGTAAGAAAATAATCCTTGTAAGCACAATGCCAATATTAAAGCAAGCAAACATATGATCATGGCGGTCTGGGGAAGTTCCTGCTGGCTGGAGAAGGGAAAACATACCATTTAAAAAAAGAGAAATAAAGAAGACCTGGAGAACTACAGGCTGATCAGTCTCACCCCTGTGCCCAAAAAGATCATGGAACGGATCGTCCAGGAAACTAGGATAGGGCACATGGAAAATAAGGAGATCATCTGTGACAGCCAATGTGGCTTCATTAAGGGCAAATCGCACCTGATGAATCTGGTGACAATCTATGATGGAGTTACAGCATTGGTGGATGAGGGAAGAACAACTGGCATCATCTAACTGGCCTCGTGAAAAGCATTTGACACTGTCCCACATGCCATCCTTATCTCTAAATTGGAGAGACATGGATTTGAGGGATGGACCACTCAGTGGATAAGGAATTGGCTGGACGGTCGCACTCAGAGGGCTGTGGTCAACGGCTCCACGTCCAAGTGGAGAGCGGTGAGGAGTGGCGTTCCTCAGGGGTTGGTATTGGGACAAGTCTGCTGGACATCTTAGTTGGTGACATGGGCGGTGGGACTGAGTGTGCCCTCAGCGAGTTTGCTGATGACACCGAGCTGTGTGGTGCAGTCAACACGCTGAGGGCAGGGACGCCATCCAGAGGGACCTGGACAGGCTTGAGAGGTGGGCCTGGGCAAACTTCATGAAGTTCAACAAGGCCAAGTTCAAGGTGCTGCACAGGGGTCAGGGCAATCCCAAACACAAACACTGGCTGGGCAATGAGTGGGTGGAGAGCAGCCCTGTGGAGAAGGACTTGGGGGTGTTGGTGGGGGGAAAACTGACTGTGAGCCAGCACCGTGAGCTCGCAGCCCAGAAACCACCCGTGTCCTGGGCTGCATCAAGAGAAGTGTGGCCAGCAGGTCGAGGGAGGGGATTCTCCCCCTCTACTCCGCTCTCATGAGACCCCCCCTGCAGTACTCTGTCCAGCTCTGGGGGTCCCAACATAAGAAAGACATGGACCTGCTCGAGTGGGTCCGGAGGAGGGACACGAAGATGATGAGGAGGCAGAAACACCTCCCTTATGAAGCCAGGCTGAGAGAGTTGGGGTTGTTCAGCCTGGAGAAGAGAAGGCTCCGGGGAGACCTTATAGCAGCTTTCCAGTGCTTAATGGGAGCCTACAGGGAAGCTGGGGAGGGACTCTTTATCAGGGAGTGTAGTGATTGATGAGGAGTAATGGCTCTAAACCGAAGGAGGGCAGATTTAGATTAGATGTAGGGAAGAAATTGTTCCCTGTGGGGGGGGTGAGGCACTGGCCCAGGGTGCCCAGAGCAGCTGTGGCTGCCCCCTCCCTGGAAGGGTTCAAGGCCAGGTTGGATGGGGCTGGGAGCCCCCTGGGCTGGGGGAAGGGGGCACTGCCCAGGGCAGGGGGGTGGGAACTAAATCATATTTAAGGTTCCTTCCAACCCAGACCGTTCTGTGATTCTCTGATTCTCTGAACCTATGATTACATCTTTTAGTACTTTAGTACCTTTCAGTAAACTCACTTCTTCAGCTGATGGCACTGGGATTTCTAGCAGGTAACACTGTCCAAGAGCTGTGAGCAGACATGAAAACAGCAACTGTTTATCAGTCACAGCATGAAAAGCAGCTGCACAACTGTTCTTACCTTCAAGGTCTTGATCTGTCAAAAAAAACCCCACGACTGGGGAAGCTTAAGATCTTGTTCAGTTTCAGATGTTTTCAAACCCTCTTATCCCAACCTATAAACCCTGTGTTTCCCTGTTGATTCCGTCATATTAATTAGTGATAAAAAAGGGAGTGCAGTTCCCAAGCTACAGATGAAAGAAGGAGTAAGTTTCCTTTGTCCTAGCTGGTTTGGAAACAGTTACCTTCCTTTTCACATCTTGCCCCCACTTCAGCTAACTCTCTTAAATGCTAAGCTATTCTTACCTTAAGTTAGAATCCCCTTCTCAGCTCCTTTAAAGATGAAAGTCTCAATTGAAAGGGAACCCAGAAAAAAAAGTTATGTTAGGGTGATGTCAATCTCTCTATTATTCACACAGTTATTCACTGACAAATTTGGCTCCTCTCAAGGTGTTATCTTGCAGCAGCCTTTGCTCTATTTTACGTCTGGAGCAAGGCACCCTTCACAAAACCTTTAATTACTTTTCATCCATTTTATTTCTTCTGTCCCCCCTCCCCACATCCTGCAATTGTATGCTGTGCTCACTTGCAATATTTTCTGCTATTAACAGACTGGTTGAATTCTTTTTGCATCAAGTAGCAGCTCTGTAATTGGAAACCTAAGTCACTTAATATAAAGATCACTGAGAATCATAAACCATTTTCTTGACCTTTTCTACCAAAACATTAGCTTCTGAGTCAGCCTGTTTTGAAGCTACAGATGGACTACATATTGTCTTGTTGATTTCTGACTTCAAGCAATTCTTTTCTTCCACTTGCTCCTATTTTTAGCATTTGAAGGTTGAAAAATTTTACAACATACTATTGCTCTTTTTTTTTTTTTTTTTTTTTTTTTTTTTCCAGGAACAAATGTCAGCACATCAAAAGCTCACTGCTTTTAGTGTGTGTCACTTGAGATGACTGGAAAAAAACACTTTGTAAGCCTCTTTATTGAATCATAAACCGTGGGTGCTACTATGAATACTTTTCACAAAAGTTCAGGGATCGCTCATTTGAGCATCACTTCGCTGATAAGCAAAATCCATAAAAACTCTCAACACTGAAGAGAGGTACTAAAAAGGAACACTATCCCAAAGGTGAAGGGGTATGCAGTCAAAATATTGCTCTGGTATGTAGATTTTGTATGCGTTTTGTTATATAGCTTATGCTTTTTGTTTCCTATCAATTATATAGCATTTGTAATGAAAATAACCGTGCACATTCACATACACATACACTTGAGTTGCTCACCTCCTCTCTCTCTGTTTAAGTGTCAGTCTTAAAACTTCCAGACCTGAAATGCTTTCTGCAGCAATCCAATCCTCTCAGACAACCATACAGTATCTGTTTGTATGGAAGACAGCTTTTAACTTCTAGGAAAACGGTTCATACCACCATCTTTCTGATCTCTGGTTAGCAGGGAGAGGGGGATGTGGGGTCACCCCATACACGTTCGGCAGACACAAAGGCCAGGGTAGCTCCCCTGACCCCTCTGGTGTGCGGCCACAAACACTCACCCTCAGCGTATGCAGGTAGCTATCTCATGAGCATATAGCTCCTGCTGTGGACAGGGTCAGTCTCCTCACAGCATATACAGCTACAACTCCTACACAGGCTGCAACACCAACACTGAAGAGTTAGAAGGGCTCTTTTTCCATGATAATAATGGCCTGTCTTGCCACCTGGACAGGGGTGTTCACTGAGGTGTTCAGAAGCGCTCACTGAATTTAGTGAACATATGGGTGGGGTGTGGTAAGCAGAAAGACTTCAATATATTTGGCAGGAACAGCCAGTACAGATTTTCCAGAACTTTGTTCAGTTTGCAATTCATCAAGTTTGTGTCTAATGCAATAAAGAAATTGAATATATTAAACATTTACAACAGGGCTGCTAAATTGCCACCTAGTGGTCTTGTAACGAAGTTAATGTCTCCGGTATGCTGATCTGGGTGAAAAAATAACAGTGTGCTTTTTGTATTTTTCTGAGGGCCTCACTATGGGTGCTCACCAACCCCTTGTCTGTAATGTGGGCAGAGTGGAGGGGGGGCACGGCACAACTGCCGAGCCAACGCAGGCTGAGGCTGCGGGGGTGCCACAGCAGCCTGCACAGGATTTAGGCACTAAAAGGGAATTTCCAGGCCAATCAGCCAGCCTTAGTCTGTTATCTCTACTACTTATTTTTCCTTTTTAACAAAACAAAATAAAAGTAAGTATTTTGATATAAAAGGAAATAGAAGTTTTTCTGACTGTTCGTAAATAAATAAAAACTTAGGAATATTGTCCTTCCAAGGTTCAACCAGCTCGGGTGTAGGAAGCACTTTGCTCTGATGGGGCATTCTCCCACCTTCTAGTCTCACCCCGCCTGAGCCGTATGTCCATCAGCACGTGCTGTTTACACAGAGCCAAGCAGAAGGGAAACAACAAAGGAGCACAAGTGGAACAGTAAGTTTTGCAGTTCTGTGTTTGTGATTAGTCGCGTAGGTCTGCCCAGAAGCTACCACGAGGGACTAAAAATAATTTTGAATGTGAGGAGCTGCATAAGCAAAGGCTTTAGGCATTAATGCATCCTCAATCATCTCACCAATAATGAGCTCGGGGTGCTGACGGAGCCGATGCTCACAGGAGGTGGAGGCAGTAACGGCCTCGCGCTGGGCAGCGGTCCTGGAGCGGGGGCTGCAGGCTGCATCCCTCGGAGGATGCGTCAGTTGTTTCAGAGATAAGTCAGAGATAAGTCAGTCCACGGCAGCAGAATTCAAATGATTCATCTTCCTCCTCCACCCTGTCACCTGCAGGGACCTAGAACAGTTAGTGGCTGAATAAGAAACATCAGCTCGGGGAGACAGACCGAGAACCCATCATTGGACCTTCACTCGGTCCTGGGCACTTCAAGGTGTCACACGAGAATGGCGTTGGTCTAAGGATGCTGCATAGCCCAAAAGCTTAACTCTGTCCAAAACACGTCCCCTTGCAGATCAACGGGCCCTTGCTCACGTCTCCTGTCCTCTCGTGATGAACTGAAACCCCTGTAAGCAAGGGCCATCACTTCCCACCAAGTATGAAGCGAGACGAGTCAGGAAAATGAGCCAAGGAACAGAAAACAGGGCTGGGGCAAGGCACAGCACTTGGGTAGCTATAAAAAGATTAAATTGGTGACAGGAATATTGTCTTCCTACACTTCAGGTTTTGTGACTAAAGTACCACTCACCACATATAGTACCATATATAGATCTGTTTTTTCCCTTAATACCACTTTCAGCCTGGTCAATCTTAATCTGCTTTAAGATACAGTCTGATTTTTATTTGTGGGTGTTCCCCCTCTTTTTTTTTTTTTTTCTTTTTTTTCGTATGTCATGTATTATGCTCTTAGTTTGTTTTTCATTATACCTTGTTCTTGTTCAGGATTGATTGAGTTAAGTACGCACCTTGTTTCTCTTTGTTTTGTTTACTTGATTTGCACAGTTCTGTTTAAAACAAATATTAATTGTTTCACTAGTGTCTGACCTCACTCCATTAACTTAATATTTTATTTCAATTAAGTTCCCTGTAGAGTAAAAAGCTACCTCTAACTGATTTAGAATTTTTTTTTTTTTTTTTTTTCCAGCAAGGCCACAGCTTCCCTATTTTTTAGATATTACGGAAGCACAGTAATAGAAGAAGCTGTAAAAACACTCCGCAAACTGACATGCCACTAATCGAAAGCACCTAGCATAATAAAAAGGCATGCAACTGCAAATCAGTTGACCCCTTAATGCGCTCTATACTCTAGATAATTTGATCTTTAAGGAGTATACAATAAAGTGTGAAAGGTAATCAATACAATACTGTCTGAGAAACTGCAGGTTTAACCGCATACCTGTCGTCAATAAAATTATCCAGGGACAGAATGACCTATAAATGCGACCAGCTTTTTAAAAAAATTAATGACCTGTTCCAGACCTCAGAAGTTGGCAAGCCACAAAATAGCATCTAGATGGCAATTCCTCATCGGAACCTGTAACGTGTAGTGTGAGCTTCCATTTCCCCCAGCCCCTCCTGGAGCGGGGCTCTTCGGGGTTCATTAGGCTCGGCTGTGACTGAAGGACTTACATGGGGTCAGTCTGCCAGCGTTCGGCTACCCCTGTAGCCTCCTGACTTTCCAGGTCCTCTTCAGATTGCCATGCCAAACGGCACCTATGGAACTCTGGAGGACATGCCTTCAACTTCTGGGGCCTCGTGCCCGAGGGAGATCATGGTGAATGCCTTCAAATACGTCTCTTGACAACTTCTGCTGCTGTTCCCAGGTAGGAAGCCCTGGATCCTCCTGTCTTCATCCCCACAAGTAGCCGACGTTAAGGGCCTGGGAACATGTTAGATGGATCATTCATTACCCTTTTTACTTGAGGTTTATGTATATAAAAACACCAAATGCTTCCAGCATAGTCCACTTTTACTCTGGTAGCATCAAATAAGAGAAATAACTATTCCGTTGCCACATGTAGAGAATACGTGATGAGAAATTACTTGCACTGGCTCTGAAATGGTATGATGACATACCGTCCCAGCCCTGTCTTCATCTTACACGGCTGTGCAGTTTTTACCCAGTTTGAAGGGGTCGGAATGAACTTGTGCTTCCCAAAATACCAAATCTGTTGTCATACCTGAAGACGTGTTGTGCGGGGCAAATTATCTGCACTAGCTGTTCTGGCAGAGAGCTTCCTTAAGACTTTTAAAAACTCAAGTATAGTCAGACACTTAAAAATGAACCACAGCGTTCTCAGCCAATTAGCACATCTTGGGTCAACCGCCAAAACAGGGCTTTCACCGGAATTTCTTTGAGAGAGGTTAAAGACATGAGAAGGGTACTCACAGTAACAGGACAGACATGATCTAAAATAAGATTTTTTTTTTTTAAATGTATAGAATGTTTTTCAGTCAAAGGGATGTAAAAGTTGAAGTAACTGGAATGTTGGGGATATTTTAAATACTTGTCAATAAAAATTGTGTGTGGGTGAAACAAGTTTGTTTCTTTTATATATTATTTATTATAACATTATAATAATATGTAATAATATGTAATAATATATGATATAATATAATAATGATATATAATAAAATAACACAATATAAAATATAACGATACATGATATGATATATAAATGTTATAAAATATATATAAATGAAGTTTGTTTCTTTTATTATATATTATTATCTATAATGTATATTATTTTACTATATGATTATTTATTTATAACAAGAGTTACTTTTATTTACTCAATTTTATTTTCACTGTGTGTGTGTCACCTTCAGGAATAAAACCAGCTGGGAATACTGAAGTCTCCCTTCTGCCTTTCTTTATATGGAGCTGGTATTTATAATGAGCCTCCAGTCAGCTCTGTCATGTTCAGATGAACTTGGTGAATCATTGTTGTTCGCCTGATTTCACAATCAGCCCTTTGCAACCCACAGCACTGTCACTAGAAATCTAACCAAAGGCAAAAATTTCTTTAACGTCTAGATCAGTTTATGTTGGGTAATCTCAACACCTTTCAGCAGCAGTAGTATTTAAATACAGTTGGAGTGGAACAAAACAGAACATCTGAATTTTCAAAAAGCCTCATGTATCTGCTTTTCTTTCTCTCCTGCTGTAATCCTTTACATTGTAAAAGTGGTTGGCTTTTTTTCCTTTTCTATGTCTTGCTAATACTTTGTGTCTTGTCTTGCGTGTAAATGTTAGCAAGTTTCAAGCCTGATGGTCTCTGACATAGAAAGTGACTTCTCTTTTAGAAAGCCAGTAGATTTATAAAATTATATATAAAAACTATGCTTAGAAACTTGGGTCAAGAAAAAAATAACAATTTATCTATCAGGCATATCTCTGTTGTCCTTTTGATGTGGGTAGAGCATACAAACTATTGTCTTTTGGAATATCACGGGAATAAGATGGCCAGAGACAGTACCTTAACTTTCAGCTTGAAGTCCATTTCCACTTACCGTTTTGTATATATTTTTCTTTACTTTTCCATGATCCCCTCTACTTACTGTTTTTCAAAGACAGACAGTATCAGGTAGATGGGATTGGAGGGGGGAAGGAGAGGTTGTCTGTGCCCATTCTCCATTCTTCATCGTTTCAACCGTCTTTTCATCCCCTCTCATGCAAAAATGAAAACCTTCACAAAACACTAGTTAGGTAACTCTTCTTTCCAGATGTATATACGTTGGGGTAAAATCAAATATTTCCACTGTCTGGTTCCAATAACTATGCTAAAAAAAGATGGATAGAGATTCACAGTAGTTCTTTTTAAGAAAATGTTTGGGGTATACAAAGCATTAATAAGATTGGGAAAAAAAATGTTATCTCCTCTTTGTACAATACTGATACACAAAAAGAGTTATCAAAACTGTACATATCTAGAATAGCTATGTCACTGAGCTATAAATCAGAGGGGAAGGAAGGATGCACTCCCAACTGCCAATTCCCACTTTTTCCAGTACTTCAACATGACATAAAACATGTGTACCAGCAGAGGGCATTACATGCCTCAATAAAATGCAGATTGAGAAACAATTTGAAAGGAAGGGGAAATTCTTCTAGCCTTTTTAGAATATTGGACATTTTATATAGCTAATCAAAAGCTCAATACAAACTGAAATATCCCAAGCACAGGGTCTATTAGATATTTCTCAAGTGCTCATTCATTCTAGTAGCTCCTTTCCTGAGAAAAATAGTACATTAATTAGTTCTCACTTGTAAAGCAAAGGTGAAACTAAGCTATTAGAACTGAAAACATACTTTTCCTTCTAAATGGATGAATCTGAGGAAAAACTAAGAGTAGACTTATTTTTAACCTATTCATTGCCCAGTTTTTATTTTCATTTCTTCTACTGCCTAGCTAACACACTGCAGCCTTTTTCTACTTAGTGATCCATGGGTTTACGGGCATTTGCTTTACTAGCGTCAAGTAATACTGAACTCCATCAGCTGAGGAGCCAGCCCTTTAGCTATCATTAGTTATAGACATACGCCACAGCTGGGAGTACATTTACAATTTTAAAATTATATTAGAAAAATAAACTTTTATTGTTTTCATTTTACAAGACCGCAATCTTCTATAAGGATCCTGAACTTTTTTTGTTGTCATCTCAAAGAGCTTAACGTGTAGACAGCCTCTAACTTTGTATCTATAAATTATAATTTTCTATAAATCAAGCAAAATGAACGCAGTTACTAAAACTGAAGGATAATGACTGGTGAAAACACAAAGAAAACAGCACTATCATAGTTCTGTGCAGCTTTTCATTGCAATTGGCTTAATGTTTGCATTTAATTTTTTTCAAAGTCTGAGCACTTGCAATGATCCCTGGATTTCACACATGAAAACAAACTTACTGTGAAAAAACAAACTGTCCATCTTGAGATTCAAAAAGAAGTTACCTCACAAACATTTTTCTACCAAGTAACATCTTGCTATTTTCTAATACTGCTGTATTTGCATTCTTCAGGTAGAAGTAGGGTCTTCAGGGAAAGATATATACCAGGAGAGTTCACATACTAATGCATCAATGCGTAATTATGTGTTACCAAATAACTTAATATACACTTCTTCAGTGTAGCTTATTAGTAATTTTGGTTTTTTAGTAAGTTGTTTTTTTTTTTTTTTTAAAAAAAAGAAATTAAGATAAAGAATCTTTTTTTTTTTTAATTCAATCTAGCAGATGGAATTTGGAAACATCTGTATTTTTGAAACACATTAAAACCAAAACATATTGAATAAATTACATAAAATCATACATTTCTTTCTAGAACTATACTGAATTATCACTGAAGTTTTTGACAAAACTTTGTAATGTAAGAAAAGAAAAAAATCTTAAATGTAGGTAAGTCATCAAATAGTAAGAATGAAAAGTAATTTCTTCAGTGGAATGCTTTTTTTTTTTATGCAAGGTTGTAAAGAATATGGCAGACAATCATCATTTTATCATCCAAAGCATTCCAGCTCTTTGAGTTTGTAGACGAGTACGTAATTTTCAATCTCTGAATGTAAACTTAACATAGTAATTGCTTGTTTGTTTAAAAGGCAGGGTTGTGCAGTGACTTAAATCTATTGCTTGGATATCACAAGTCCATTGGGTAATTTTCAAGGTGCTTTATGGAATATCATTACTGGGTAGGATGCACTTACTTGCCTGTTCATCCAGTGTGGTTTTGCTTCCTTACCTGAATACTGGCATAGCAAATAAATAGCATATAATAATATGTATACTGGAAATCTAACATCTGGAAGTACAATGTTTGCATTTAAGTCCAGTCCTAAAATTAAAATACTATTTCCTTCTGCTTCAGTGGACCAGGTGAAAAACGTCTTTCCAATAAAAAGATAAATGCTCAGAGACATGTAAACAAATGACACACTGACACTCTGCGTGTGCTTTCCCTCTGCTTGTTCCAGAACTCAGCAAAACACTTTACTAGTCATAGATGAGAAAAGTCCTTGTCCATCTAAACCTAAAATGATATTAACTTTCAGCATCATCTAAGCTACTTTACAAGCAGGAAGGACTGTGCTAGGAAGCATGAACTAACTGGTCTTCAAAGCAGCTGTCCTGACAAATAGATTATATATTAATGAGAAACTATCGGGCAACATTAATTTAAACTCTTAATAACAACAGCATTTGAGATGTAAAGCTCTTTAATGCAAACAAAAAAAAGTGTCCTGAGTTTAAGTGGACTGATGTTTAGTGACTCCCATCCACAAAGCCGGGAAGTCAGTGAACTGGAACTCAGGTCAAAGCCCATTTCTGGATATGGACCCTGCAGCCCCATGCTGTGCTGCTGTAAAAGCTTATGCAGGTGCTCTGAAATTTGAGCTAGCAAAGTCAAGGAGACTGCTCCCAGGATAAAATATATATATACACACATATATATATATACATATATATATCTTGTGCTTCATGTTGGAAGGAAGAGGTGGCAGAAAGCCTTAAAAATACCTTACATTTCCTTCTGCTTTTTTGACACTTTTTTTTTTTTTTAATGTCAACTGCATATCACAAACACTGTGTAACCCAGTTGGCATGCAAAGAGGTTCATTTGCTTCATGTCAACCAATGCTTCTGAAGTAAAAACCTCTGCAGAAATCATGACGACTAAGTATGTATGTGGTAAATTTTCATCCATATCTTAAACAGTAATAAACTTACTGAAAAGTTATGCTCTCTAGCTGAAACACTGGCCTTCAATGAACGTTTTGAATATTTACTGTTACTACATCATTACCAGATCTATGATTTATTAATGTGTTTGGGGGGTTTTCTTCTTTTTGATAGACGATAGAAGGGCGTTGCTAAAAGTCATCCCAGATTATAGCAAAGCCTGGACAAAAAGGAAATTTAGCCTAATCCACATGGGGAAAAATATGCTGCCACTACTACTGGTGCCAAGAATGGGAGCTGCAGGTCAATGGCAGCAGCTGGAGGGAGTCTAAACGAGAGGTGAGAGGACAGGAGTCAGTAGCATGATCAAGGGAGAGATGCCTCTGCACCAACTTGTAAACAAGCACTTTAATCATGTTTGCTACTTCGTTAGCATTTGAACAATTCAGACTGATATATGAAAAATGGTTTTAGCTACCTTCTCTTTTATGCAGGTCCTGAGCAGCTCTAAGCAAAGCACTTATCTGAATAATGAGAGTAAGAATAATAACATTTCTCTATCTCAAAGGGCTGATTATGAGAATAAATTAGAAGCTCAGATGTTATGGTAATGCATCCCAGTAAATCAAAAAGAATTTTCAAAACAAAATAATTACACTTACATTATTTTTTACATACCTACAATTCAAAAATCCCTTTTTGGCAATCATAAGCTGTTTGTATGTAAGCAAGGAATTTCTGGATGGTTAACCCCATAAATGTGAAGAACACTTATCCAGAAATACTTCAGTCAGTTGACGGAAGAATATATAAAGAGGAGACTATTAAATTATTAAATGACCCACACTACAGCCTCTCATATGCAGTTTTGCAGCTGGAGGACAAGTGACTGCTAGGATGCTTAGTCTGGTCTCTTCAAAATGTCTACAGTGAGGCTCTGGTTTGAAAAGTGATTATGTAAAAATAGCACTTCCTACTCAGCAGATCTGTTCTTGTGTGCTTTAGTGGGGAGAGAGAAAAAAGAAGAAAATTACTGCATGTCTTCACTGCTGAGCCACCGTATCTCTGGGGGAAGAAACTGCATTATACTCCAGTTTATGCAACTTCATCAAAATCACCAATTTAAAGCTACAGTGTACCTAAGCAAAACCCATCATTTCAAAATTGTGCCCTTTGAAATCAGACCTGCATAACCTCATTACTTTTAGCTGAATGGAAATAAATGAAATGAAAGGAAATAAACCCTTCAGACTGAAAAATCGTGATTGGATTTCCTCCAGCTTCCTATCATCACCCAAACTAATCAAGCTGTTTCTCCCCCCAGGTGGAAAATTAAAAGGAAGAGATAGGTGATGATGATTCTTTTCTTTTAAATATTTGGCAGGTAGTCTCAGAGCACAGAGCCCACATAAGTTTCAAGAGGTTACATGAGGATTACAGACGGCTAAAAGTATGACAACAGCAGCCAGCACAGGGGTGTAAGCAATGGAAAAACCAGATTCATGCAGTCTGGCCAGCCTGTCACCAGGGTTGTCAGACACCTCAGTGATGAGGTGGGCTTTGCCACTACCAGCTGCTTCCAAAGGAGCAATGTATCACAAAAAATCTTCCTCTTTCAGCCTTTCAGAAGAAGTCACCTTTATCAGTGTGATTTTTTTCCCCAAGAAGAGCAGACGAGGAGGCTCCCGTAAAAGGGAAAAAAAAAAAAAAAAGTACAATTCTTAACATGGAAAATACATATTTAGTATCTGTCTAGAGATTTGAAAGGATACTTTGATCATTCTTTCCAATTACATACCTGTTAGAGGCAAGTATATTTACATATTTAATATTCAGCTAATCTCCAAAAACTTCTTTGATCAAATAGACATGCCATTTATCCTCAAATGCTGTGCCAAAATCTCATCTCTAGATAGCCTAATGTGTGAAGTGATGAATTTGTTTTCAAGTCTTTTACAGAATGCCTTCCATTTTTCACTTCAGATTAAAACACCTACCCTTTTAACAAGTGTATTGCCTCTCCTGAACACTATCTTTAAATATAAAAGAAATCATACCAGAATGGTTCCCCTAGGGTTTTGCCTTTTGACATTTCTGTACTTAGAAAACTTCTGAGAAGGGAAACTAATGGCATTATGCTTGCAGACACAATTATTTTCTAAATGAACAGAAATGTCTACATCTTTCTCCTTCCCATCTGTGACACATTCTACTGTGCCTTATAGACACAGATCCTGCATGACCTTCACTGAATCCCTGCAGCAGTGGACTTAAAAGCTTGACTAGCCCTAGAACAGCAAGTTCCGAGCCAGGACTTCTGCATTCATTGAAAATAGAAAGACTGCTTCATCAGTTTGCAGAAAAAAAAAAGCACATAGGTTCTGAGAGAAGCCAGTCCAGCAACAGAGGTTCTGCAACAGAATCTGGACTCAGATCTGTTATGGTAGACATGACCAATCCCAATAAATAGTGTCAATTGTGTTACAGAATACATGCTTCCAAGCAATGCCTAAGCTTGTAATTCTTTTCTTCTTCTTCTTCTATACCAAGCTTTCTCCTAAATCTCTTCAAAAAATTCTCACAAAATTAAAATCCACCCAAGTGTTTTATTCAACAGAGAGATGGAAACACAGCATCACAATTTCTTTATGTATTTAGAATGCAGTGTTTGCTTTGAACCTCAGTCTGGGTCTCTGAGACCTTTCAAGCATGGTCTACGTGTTTACTGAGGAAGTACTGGGCATTGCTCTCCTTACAGCACCATCCAACTCTCACAGTAGAGGGTTAGGACCTCTGGCAAGTAAGGCATACAGTCGGGCAACAAAAGTGTAATATATCCAGAGTCACTGCCAGCAAAGCACTCGTTTACAGTCCTAAAATTGAAGTACCATGACAGAGCCTCTCAGAAATAAACCCCACTCTTAGAGGTGAAGTAAGATTTTATTTTCAAGTCCTACCACGCTTACTCCAGTATTTTTTCAGAAGACTCCTCACTGTTGCCACGTTGGGGAGCAAGTGTAGGCGGCTTTGTATGCAGGCGGCTCTGGTCCGGGGGCCACCCATCAGCAGTGAGCCTCATTAGTGGCATTCAGGATTTGAAGGAACAACTGATTCCGTACAATTGTTTTCACGGTGTGAGATGCAACTGTACTGACTTAAAGCACAGACCACCAAGCTCACTAAACTGTGAGGTTCAAAGTATACAATGAAAATATGAGAGAGAAACATTTAATTACAGAAGAAAAAATGCTCTTTCATAGCGTGCAGCAACATTTTAATCATCATCTATCACAAACAAATTCTGGACATTGTAAAGCATTTTTTCTTACCAACGATGAGATCAGTGAACAGTAGAACTTACTACAAGGCTACAAATAATATTCTTAAAAATTTACAAAGATAAAATTAAATCAATTTCAGCAAGAAGGTTTTTCAGGGTTTTCTTTCCAAATCACTAGATATTTTTTTTTTTTTCCTTTAGTCAGAAGACTCATTTTCTTTGCAAAAATGTTTTTTCTACCTGGGACAAATTTGTAGAAACAGATTTACTGAGAAGAATTCTGACACTTTCCTGGCAACTTGCAGTGATGCCTGGTGAAAGCAGCTAAATTTTGCTGTAAAAGAAATTTGCAAAAAGTCATGAAAACAGCTTTTGAACTCATCCAAATGTCATCCCCCTAAAGACAAATCTAAATAGAAATGTCAGGATTGTAATTTTTTACTCACTTCAGGAACCCCATTTGGTGTATTGCCTATACAATTTAGTATTAAATTTGGGTTTTTTCCATAGGAAAAACACTGACTTCAAGTGTCGATCCTGATTTTTCCTTTAAAGCTGCCTTAAGTGGTTATCTATCATACAATTTTGCCACGAGACTGTTTTGCTTCTGGTGATTTCACCCTGAAGTCTCCAAAATCTGGTAAGATCGAACGATGAATAAAAAAAATGGTGGGTATCCCTGTCCAGCCCAATTCCCCATAATCTGTCACAAGCAAGTAAAAGAGGGTCCAAAGAAAAGCTAAGAGCTCTGTCCCTGCATGTCATGAATTACAGATCACTCTCCTTTGCCTTGTAAAAAATGTAAGGCTTGTAGCACAAAAGCCACCAGAGGACATCACCAGTATTTTAAGCTCCCTACAGTAGCAGAAAAATTGTCCTGCTTAGAGGAATCCAGCAGTAGCACGAGCTGGCTATTTCTCCTATATAATGACATATTTGGTTTTGTTTCGGTGAGTGCTTCGCTCATTAAAAGGAAGCCCACAAAAAATTTGCATACAGCAAAGCAGCATGACAGGGACTCTAAACTGTGAGCTCCTGACAAAACTAATCCTCAGTGCAACGCTTTTTATATCCCCTGTTTTGATAGTTCATCTCCTAAATGAACTTTAGAAGCCTCCCATTTAAATTCTCCATGGGTATAACCTGATAAAAGGTGTTTCAGATTACAGTTTAATAAATTGTATTTATTAATTTATTAATAAAATAAAATATTAATAAAATAAAAATTTAAAAAGGCTGATCTTGTGAAAACAGAACAGATGACAAGAGATTGGAGTACTATTCTTGGTTTTCCTTATTTTTTTTCTAACTCTGAGAAACTTGGTTAACCTTGTGCTCCACTGTACTCTGTAAAATAAGGATAATGATACATGCCTATTCTAAAGAGACCTGGGAAAAGAATTATCTTTACACTGAAAAGCTATGGGAATGAAAAGTATCATTACTTCACTGTTATCTAATTGCATTAAAAATTATCCTTCAACTTCAAATCTTTGATATTAAATATAACAAGAGCGGGCAGAAGTAATGAATGCCCCAGTCCTTCATTTTCCCTGTGGGTAAAGGCACTGTATGAATTGATTGGCAGGTCCAAATCCTTTTTGAGAAACAGAGACCATCAAATGTTTGAAGGAAGAAGAATCCCTATCAAATTCGTATCACCACTTTAGTTTAGGTTCTTCCCAGACACTTTGTAGTGTTTCAGGTCTGGGAGAATTTGGGATTTGCTAGCATTACAGTGCTGCTCTAAAAACCATACTGAAGAAAAATAATCTAAAAATGAGCTAAAGAAATCAAATTCTCTGGTGCTAATGTCCAAGATGGGAGGAGAGTAACAGTAGGATACCGACTAAACACAGATCTCTCTGCAGTTTTTAAATAAACTTACATCAATACAGTGTTGACATAAATGACGTGTTTCAGGTACTTTTTTTTTTTTAATATGAATCTTATGACAGATCCAAGGTCAATTAGGAGCAGTGCAACATAACTCCCTCCTTCCTTTGTGCTAACCAAAGACTGTGTTCCTGAAAGCAACTCTTGCAAAATCAGAAGAGTTGTCAGCAGAAAGATTACTACGTCAATATCATAAGGTCAGAAGCTATGGGAACTATCAAAAGGGAGCATTGTGATAGCTGAGCTACACAGGTGGGATGCAGTATCAAAACCATATAATGACATTCCCTCTTCCCAAAGAATTTTTACTCTGTTATTAGGCAGAGGAAATAATGAAGATATTTTGGACACTACTGACCTTTGCAATAACAGCACCTTTGGGTGTTACTGACCCCCATGACCAGTAAAAAAAAAAAAAAAAAAAAAAAGTGTGTGCAAGAATAACCCTAAGAATATTTGGAGAGTGCTTAAACAATAACCATCAAGGAAGAAGTTTATCAGAGTTATTTTTAAATTTATATTTAGTAAGATTTTATGGATTCAGATCAAATGTAGGTATTGAGTAAATTGGTTTGAAATTTTTGACACCAGTTATAGCAGGTTAGGTTTATATCCTAGCATGCTGGAAGGTTTACATCACGTCTCACTAAGAAGGCAGTTGGCATTATTCAAGTGCTGGGTCTTTACCTTTCTGTGTTTTCACGTTTTTTTCCTTTGTGTGAAATGAAGAGCATATTTCATCCTCTAACTATAAACGCCTTCAGACATTACAGTCCCTTGAAGCTCTGAGTCACAAATCAAGTACTTCTTATAGTCTGGACTCTCAGTATCTGATTGTGTTTTGACTCCCAAGTTCTGATTGCAATGGATGGTGTCACTCTTTTACAACAGCTCAATTAGTTTAAAGCAGCCACAAAAAACATGATAACCATATACTTAGTTTGTTTCTGTTGCAGAAAACTGATTAGCCTGTGACAAAAGAAATTAATTATAATGTTGAATGGGGTCAGTGAATGAATTAAATGAAGGTTCTGTAAGACTTCTCTTACATTTAATCACGAGAATAAAGAAGAGCTACTGTTATTTTCTGAAATTATCCTTCCTGGCTGCAGGGTAGAAAGTCAGAATAAAGGTAATACATTGACTTTATTAATGTCAGCGATAGTAAAGATAGTACCAAATGAAAGGCCATGAAAAAAGCCCTATGGTCACTTGGCTAGATGAACTTGCAACAGCAGCATACCCACATTACACAAGGAATTGAAGCTACCCTGCCAGTCAAGGTCTAAATGGCCCAAAAGTTCTAAGCAAGAAATTCCACAGAGCTTTTTAAGGATCTGGGATAAAGCTGGATTGAACAATGGCTAAAGCTGCTTCTGTGTCATAACAGAGAAAACAAAAATGCTAAACTAGAATCCAAGAAAGTGTGCCACTTGTAAAATTATTCAGAACAACTCTTACATGTCTATGATGCATCTTTCATTGTGACTTTCTAAAATCTGTTTCTAGTGAATTATTCCAGAAAATAAGATGCTTCTACCCTCTCCTCTTCACAGCTGAGGTTCAGGAAATTACTGCAATTTCTTTTATATTCCTAAACATTCCTCTAAAGATTCTGGCAACTTCTGGAAGGTAGAAGACTATCATAAAATATATGAAGAGATACACAGCAGCTTTTATACATTTTTTTTAAATGTTAAAATATGTGTACAAAGTGGTGTGTGATTAAACAGCCTTAACTGGTTTGTATACTTGTTCTGTGTACCTATTTTGTTCATATTGATATTTTGTATATCTAAGTAATTTTATCCTTAATACAGATGTGTATGAAGAAGCCCCATGAACCCAGTTGGATACTGAATAATTTCATTTGTCATGAAACCATTTGGATGCTATTCCGTTCACACATCTTAATCACTGACTTTGTGTTCATTACGGGTTCAGTTGCTATTATATGCCAACAATACAAGTGACTTTATTCAGGTGAATTAAAACATGTTGAGAAAAAATAGCAGTTACTTTCCTATAGGAAGGGAAGTTCTTGAGCTTTACTTCCCATTTGGCAGCACAAGCCCCCTTTCCAGAGAACAAGAGATAAATCAACAAAGCTCTGCGATTGCTGACTACTTAGAAGCCAAAGTGAGATTTAAGTGTACTTCGTTCATTAATCTAAGCAGATGCTGGCACAGTCTAAATATGAATGTTTACCTGCTGCAGATAGATTCACCTGTAATCTAGAGTATGCTGAGTATGCTTTGAGTTCTATTTTTTCAATAGGAAACGGTTATGTGAAGCACTGAAATACCAGAAAGTTAGGTAGATACAGACTTTAAAACCAGGAAAGCCAATCAAAATAACTACTGGGCATTCTCTAATATTAACACACTGTTGCCTATTCACTGCAAAACATTTTCATGATCGCAGATTCTGATTGATTAGATTCCAGAAAATGGAAAAAAGCAGAGCAATTCAGTTAACTATAGGTCTTTCTTTTTGGGAGGAAAGAGTTTTGTATTATCCTTGCATTTTTGCCTGTTTCAGTAGCAGGGTATTAAGTCATAGGGGCAAATTTAGCACATAAAATAATCATATACTATTTCTTTAATATATTGAAGTTTTGGTTGTTCCAGGATCAAATTCTACCATTGCTATAATGTATAGTATAACGTTAGCAGAATACATTCATACTATCAGAGAGTCCACTGAAGACTTCCTTGCCACTGAAGAGCTCAACACACAAGAAATAGCATGTAGGTATACCCTCACACTTGCATGTAGCCCCATTGATTTCAGGCTCTCACCTAGCTTGAGAAGTTGCAGACTTTAGCTGAGTAATTTTCACACTATTTAAAAAAAAAAAAAAAAAAAAAAAAAATCAAACCTTCCTTTCTCACACCTGGGTTTTCTTCAATGGATTTTTATTTTCATGTAATTGTATGAAAAATTAGAGACTGAATAACACAGTTAAAGGCATATAATCCCTATGAAGAATTATAGTTGTTTTATTG